ATAAATATAAAAGATAATACTTTCTTAGATTTACGTGAATATTTGACATTTTAAATAAAACTATCTCAGCCTCTTCCGTGACCATGATTGCTGTAAAGCATTCGAAACGTCAGGAACCAAAAATCAAAATAAATCCGCGAAATAATCCGAAAAGATAGTTTTATTTAGAAAAGATAATTTTATTACCTATTCAAATATTCACCTCAAACCACTTAAGTACACCTTTTTTTCTAAAAACCGTATTGGTTTCTAAACGCTGAGTTTGGTGTTACTAAAATATTATAACAATACGGATACCCTGCTGATATCGAATCAATGTTTACTTATTGGCAGTACCTATCAAGGTAGATAGTCACTAAAAAATATTAGTATATTTTTGTTATGTGACGATGATATACCTACATAACAAAAATACATTAATATTTTTAGTATCTACTTATACTGATATAGGTATATCACCATTATATACAACAAAATATTTAATATAAAGTGAAGACAGAAATGGGAGTCGAAACTAGTGATGTAACCTGAAAAAAAACTTATTACCTTTGCTTTTTTCTAATTACCTTTTATTTCCGAAAAAAAATCTATAGAAAATTAAATGTTTTATTGAAGTATGTTTTCCAATTTCTTACATTTTACTAAAATTACCAATCAAATAAAGTAATAATGAATCAATTACATAAAAAAATATTTTTCCTCTGTGCCACCTACACTAGCCTAGTTTTTATCAGTGTCGGAATTTTCACATACGAGTATAAGCTTAGCACTATTCAACCAAAAAGTATGATAGGTTTAAAAATAAACAGATAACTCTAATATGAACTTTTTAGGATTATTTTTTTACGGAAACAACCTGAATGATTTTGAATTCTGTTGTTTTGAAAAATAAAAAAACATACTCTAGAAAAAAAACGCGTTTTCTTTATATTAAATACAGTTTTTTTTTGCAACACTAGTCGAAATGGAGCCCTTAAAATATTATGTCGAACATTGAATTTATATACTCGTATAATACTTTAAGTCTAAAATACCTCATTAAATTGAAATCACAATGCAGCGCCACGTAAAGCTTTAGTAATTTTTGGGGAGGTTTGGCTTTCATGTTAAATTCCCAGTACTAGCTTCAAGGATGCCGACTAGATTATTATGCATAATACCAATGGACAATAAACAACGATTTATCTCTAACAATGTTATTGAGAAGCAACTAAAATTTATTTTGATTAGATATTTATATCTTAAAATATTGTCGGCTGGCACCGACTTCGAATATATCTGAATAGGTATCTATTCTAAATAAAAACTCCCGTTTATTTATTTTTTAAATTTTAGTGCTGGAAGTCGGTTTTTATTTAAATTTTTATTTTTCAATTGTTAGTGGAGACGTAATAAGCAGATAATTTGTAAAAAGAATGTTTTTAATAACATATTCCATTAAGCAATTTATTTAAAAAAAAAATATTTATTATTATTTAAAAAAAAAACCGCTCGACCGATTTCGATAATATTTAAATGGGACCACCTGAGAATTAGACTCTTAAAAATAAAGAAAAATCCAAATCGGTTCAGGCGTCTTCTAGTAATCGGTGAAAATACATAAAAAAAAAGAATTGAGAACATCCTCCTTTTTGGAAGTCGGCTAAAAATTTACTAATTTGAATGACTATTATGCGATATAAAATATGATAACATATTCAGAAAGATCTTGTACTTGTATAATAACAGGATAACGTATCTTGTACTTGTACAATATCAGTCAGACGCTACGATATTCGTAGCATTACTTTGAATCTTCTCAGTTGCTACGCCGTTGCTTTATTGTGTAAAATACATGCTAGCTTTATTGTGTAAATGCCTATTGATTAAACTATAACTTTTTATAACATTTATTGAACTTAAGGAATACTTTTAATGATAAGGAAGAATAATATTATAAATATAAAAATATTTAAAATGTTACTTTCTTAGATTTACGCGAATATTTGACACTTTAAATGAAACTGTCTTTTCAGATTTTCGTCCCTCCCGTGACCATGATTACTGTAAAGCATTCGAAATGTCGGAAACCAAAAATCGAAATAAATCCGCGAAAAACCGGAAAGATAGTTTCATTCAAAAATATTTAAAATTGACTTGTCTTTAATGGCTATAAAAATATAAAAAGACAAACAAGTACAGACAGCATTCATAATTATGTATATGTGTATTTAAATTTCATCATCAAATGAATAAACGATTCGAATAATTAATAAATTAATGAAAATGAAATTGAGGCGAGGGCGCTATTATACATAATTGGGGTTGTTTCTTTGAAGTTCTTTGAAGTCATGTAAATGTTTCTTTCTTTAATAGTAAAGTATATTATGTATTATGTGCTTATATTGCAATGTGCTAATTTTATGTGTCCCAATTCTTATACAATTTATGTACATAAATCTGTAACATTTTTATTTATGTAATATTCTAATGTCACTTTATATAAAAAAAAACAATAAATAAAAATATTTGAAGAAGTTTCAAAATATAAAAAACCTGTTACAAACATTTTTATTGTAAAGTTTCTTGGAAATGCAACTATTGCAAGAAGACTAAAATGAGCTTTTCTATGCTACTTTTGAGTATTAACATGAAAACTTCAAGAATAATAAGGACAACAATAGTTTTCGTAGCTCCATAGATAAAATACTGACAACAGTCATGCGCAAATAGCAAACTTTATTTATAAATAGACGTAACTCATTTACTTGCTTTTTGACTTTGAACATTATATCCTAAATTTAAAGTTTAAAATTGCAATAACTGTTTGTTATTGTGTGCAATAGCGCAATAGTAAGCAAGCGTGAAGATGCGTCCTGTACCGAATTCTCACATGCTAGCAATAATTGCACACAAATAAAGAATACTTATGTATGGAATCGCGGTTATTACTAAGTTGTTTTTCGTGTGTGTATGTTCTCTGTATATACAATTTCGTGAAAGCTAGATAGGGCAAAAGAGGAAAGCGTCTGTAGTAAAAACGACTGAAACACCGGTTGGGAGTTCTGTGACAGTTGTCAGTACATTGTGAGGCTCCGAGAGGGATGGTGGTGTCGTTTGTAGAGTGTTTTGCCGCTCGTCCTGTCGATTTCCCGCGCATTCTCCCACGTGGCAATTAACTTGAATGAACTTATGTCAATAATATGAATGATACATATTAGTGTTAGAATGAATATGTGTATATTTTTTAAGACAATTATAATAAACTCATGATTGTGTCGTGCTGTTTTGGTTATCTTCGTTGGCTTGAAGAAGTAAGTTTTAGAAATATACATACTTAAAAAAATCCTTTTTAGTTTTTACTTTTATTAAAATTTACATTTCTAAGTTTTAAAATATAAGGAAATCATGTAAGGACACAAGTGCTCAGACCTAATAATAAAAATAAATCACAATTAAATAGTTTTATATTTTAATAATAAAATAAACCAATTAATATTTAGATGAGCTATGTAAATAGCTTAACTACATATTATAATCAAATATTCATACAATTAATTTGGTATGTTAGTTATATAAAAGATACCATGAACTGTTTCCATTATCTAAATAATTCTATGGACCTTATTTTAATGATCGGGGTTACGTTAAATGTTGGTAATTTAATGCTTTTACAGATAGTTTGTGTTAATCAAGCCCTCTTTTCATATGAGCGTCGGAGCCCTATTCATTTTCATGGTTTTCGAATGTAGCTTACAAACTCAAGGAATTACAAATTCATATACTATACGTAATATGTATATTCCTAACTATTTTTACTATCCATTCATACATTATATCCACTATCAGATCCATCCATATACAAAAATAAATTCTTTATGAACTTATTATGACGTTAAAAACTGTGAATCAAAACGTCGCATTTTAATTTTTAAAATATTTTCACATAAAAGGTTGGTTTTGCATAAAATTAACATAAAAAGAGGACAAAAGCCGTAATAATAAGAGGGAAGGAAATTCAGCAGGAGGTAATGGAATAAGGATTTATTACCATTCATAGCATGTCAACTAGGAAGACGCGCAATGGTACTATTCGTCGTAAAATATTATATAAGTCTTTATATAAAACTAATGTACCTAAGTGCTTTACACACTTATTCCTCTTTGTTGCAATCCTCTATTCCTTTTAGAATTTCATTTTTCGTTTATCGTGAATGACCTTGATGATATCATTAGAATCATTTCATTTTGTTTAGTATTTTTACTGACCGATGCCACAAATTATTAATAACTCGAGACATACCTACTGGTTATTAGATTTACTTCGTAATTTTAAAAATTATAATATTTAAAAAATATTAAACATTTTATTCTAAATTCAAGTATTTTATGCACATAAATAAACCTATTCAGTATTTTTTTATGATAGTGTTACGAATTTAACAGAAAGAAGTCTAAAGCTGACTGATAGTTATGTGGAACTTTAGTTATGACACTTTTTTTCCTTTCTAGAAACAGAAATAAAATAATTAATAGTTTTAATTACATATGTATAATTAGTAGAAGCACATTTTTTTCGCTTAACCCATATCTTAAAATAAAAAGTATTGTGGATATTACCCTATTTACACGTTTATAAATAAGATCAAGCCTTTTAAAATCTAGTACCTGGAGTTATTGGACCAAAAAAACATTTAAAAAAAAGCAAACTAAGAATTTGAATATATACAAAAAAAAACAAAAGTAAAATCTTTGTATCCGACCGGGATACGAACCCAGACACCTGTAGTTGTCAAACTTGCACCTTGGCCGCTTGACCACGATGCTTATGTCCTAGAGCGAATTAGCGACCATATTTTGCGTGGAATAACGCGAAACAAACCCGTATGAAAACTCGAAAACACGCGTTTTCCCAGACATAAAACTAATCTAGAGCGATTTATCGGCCCCGAAACCCCCCGTATTCTAAATTTCATGAAAGCAATAGAATTAGTTTTATTTTATTCATCAAGTCTTTTCTATGTAATCAAAATAAAATTTAAATACAAGCGCGATATTGACTTGTTCTTTATTAAACAAGTATCATTGGATATCAATATCATTGGATACCGATGTACTGACTCCTGACTGATTTCGGTCACGGCGGCCAATTTTTCCCCCCACCTTACAAAACTCCTTTTCACGCTCCTGAAATAAATTGTATCTTTCACTACACGCTCGCTATTGAATATATAGTACTTTTATGCTGACTTAATAAATATCTAGTAGTAGTTTCTCTATAGTTACTGAATATTCACTAAACATCTAACGCTGAATTCACAGTTTTTACATTTCTATATATATATAAATATTTTTATTTTTTTTTATTTTGAAAATGCAGTTACGCTTACCACCTGTATCCACACGGGTGGTATATGTGAGACTGCCTCGGTGGTGTAGTGGCTAGCATGTACGGCTGCACACCCGGAGGTCCTGGGTTCGAGTCCCGGGTCGGGCCAAGTTTAGTTATTGAGTCTTTCTGTATAATAAGTCTCAGTAACAGCCTGGAGTTGGGAAGTTGGCGGTGTTCCACCCCCGTGCCTCGGAGAGCACGTAAAGCCATCGGTCCTGCGCCTTAACTCTCACCGGTCGTGTCGAGTGGTCGTCCCACCGGAGTATGAGAGTGATAGGAATAGAGAGTGCACTTGTGTCTGCGCGTACACTTGATCACTATAATATATCCTGCGCAGTTGGCTAATCTCTATGAGATTGGCCGCCGTAGCCGGAATCGGCTAGGAGAACATCATCATCACATGTGAGACTCACTGGCTAGAAAATCCAGTAAAACCCATTAAACCCAACAGAACTTCTCCTGTCTTAATGCGGCGTCGCAGGATCACTTACGCACTTTACCACGACGTCATACAACTAAGGGTTTGCTCCTATGGCCAGGAGCAACCCGCATGGTTGTGTGCCACCACCACCACCCCCACCGAAGTGGGCCACTCCCTGTGTGTCTCTTGGCTTCACACCGGCTGGGTTGTCGAACGCTAATATGCCCCCCACCACGACAACAACCGACAGAAACACACATCGGGTGTGGAGGTTAATAAGTATTTCTTAGCCACGCAACCCACCGCGATAAAACTTTGTGGCATTGGTGTACTCCGCCCGGGAAAGTTTCTAACATAGTACCTACCACAACGAAGATAGGTGTCGCGCGAGTTGTATAGGATAATTTGAGATTTTGTAGTATGGTAAAGCACTGTTTTAAAGTTTAATCCGCCAATAAGCAGACGCATAGAAGTCATATTATATATATATATATATATATATATATATATATATATATATATATTTACTTTGCCAATCATATAATTACTTATATAAAAAATATGTCGAACGCCTAAGCTTAACTGGATAAGCCTAAGCCTCTTTTCCTAAATTCGATATCTGGTAAGCTCCATTAGAATGGGTTTAGTTGTTTGGGATTTGGTTTCGTGAACAAAGCCTTATGAGCTGAATAAAAGAAAGAGGTTGCGAGTTCGAAATTTTATATTAAGATTTAGTGTAAGTTAACATCCTAAAAGCGTTTTAGGTTTTAAATGTATAATTCTTGTGTAATGATTAGAAAACTTTTACTGTAAATGTATTATTCTTGTAATTTTTGAAAACAAAAGTTATATGATATATGCTGATTGGTATCGAATTCCATCCAGTCAACGTCACAATGTTGAACAAATATCCAACCGTCCCAATTTTAGTTCAATATTTAACCATTACTCTGTTATATTGGAGTGGTGTTCTTTTTGGATCATTTTAATAAAAACAAATTACTTTATTGATAATAAACAACATTCAATATGTTTTACTAGCTGTTCATTCCCACTTCACTCGGTTGTGTAATATATACATAAATACAGTAGCGCTACCTTTTGGGAAACTTTATTACTAACAGTAGCCTAGGAGTTACTCCTGATCATAATCTATCTGTGTGCAAAATTACATCCAAATTCGTTTAGCCATTTCAGTGTGAAGAAGTAACAAACATACATACAAATACAAACAAACTTTAACATTTATAAAGCTAGCATGATGATTTAGACGAGATATGTTATATATACGGTTTTATTAATGAAAACCGCAACATTAACAACGCTACCATGTATGTGGTTAGTTAGTTGCTAGATTTAATGATTAAATTACGCTATCATGAAACGCAATTATAAAAATAAATTTGGACTTTCTTTATTTATATTAGAAATTTTGATTCTTGAATTGGATTGTGTTATTATATCTTAAATATTTATGCTTTTAAGTAGAAGGTAGAGGTCGTAATGATTTATAAGCGTCCATTTGTCATTCTTAGCTGGTGCGAATATACAAAGCTCCTTTGTCCATATGTTTACTCAACTATAATGCTTACATATTACTATCTACTTAAATATTTGACAAATCTGGGACTAAGTGCGTTACTAAAAAGCTTATAGTGGAAAATATATAAAATATATCATTGCCTGTGGATTTATAATCATATATCTTATTTAACCCGTTTTTAAAGTACCACAACTGAGCACGGGTCTCCATCAAATTAAATATTGCTAATTGCGCGAAGGATCAGGGTATAGTCCATTACGCTGGACAAATACGGTTTGGTTGACTTTACAATATGTCTTTCAAAAATTAGTAAGATTCAGACATGCGAATTTCCTCATAAATTTTTCTTTCACCTTAAGACGAGTGGTAATGATGTTGAAAATTATTCGCATATGAAAATATCAGAGACACACCGTATAAGACCCGGGGTTAAAATCGCTTCACTTAGTTTTCACTTGGTTTGGTGAGCACGTTGCCACTGAGCTATTACGGCATAAATTCAATAAAACATTCCTACCTTTATTTTATTATTCCTTATTAGCGGAACCCGCGGCTTCACTCGCGCTAAAACTATGAAAAAATCTCTAAAAAGGTGGTTTCATACAAACTTTCAACCCCTATTTTACCCCCTTATAGGTTGAATTTTGGAAAATGCTAAAACATTTATTTATTAATTTATATTGAAGAACATGAATACCGAATTTCAAGTAGTTCTGATCATAAATATTTTTTTGGTTTGTATTTTAACATGTTTTCCCGTGGGAATTAGATAATTTCCCGCAATAAAAAATAGCATATGTCACTCTCCAGCCCTCCAACTATATCCACACAAAAAATCATGCCAATCCGTCACTCCCTTTTGAAGTGAAAGAAGGACAAACCAACAAACATACTTTCACATTTATAATATTAAGTACGGATTTAAAATTCAAATCTAAATAATTATCACAATGCAACTCATGTTCATAATATTCAGATTGAGATGAATGTCAAATAATAATAAAAACAATGATCTCATATTACTTTATATTTTATCTAAAAATATGAGACGTAGACGTTGCTTAAAAGCATTCTGCTTTTTCTGTTATATTATAGAAAACTAGAAACTAAAAAATATGAAATATTATGCGCAATAAAAATATTCGAGTGCTATTTAGCTCACTTCAAAGCGAAAACACAGTTGGTAGTAAAAATGTCATTTGCACGTGCATTTCAACTATTGTATACACGGCACGTACCGTAGAAACCTGTAGTTCTTATTTCAATACCCTTAAAGGCTAAAATACCTCACGATTAAGTTTTTTGATGCTCCTATCGTTCAGAGCAAGAATGCCTTTGTTTGAATGAACAAAGAGTATGCATTTACGCGCGCGCTTAGTTATGAACGTAGTAATTTTTGTTCCATAACAACGTGTTATATATGAATTTACATGTAAAATATATTATAAATTATAATAAATTAGATTATTCGAACCCGAATTGTGAACCGCTTTAAGCCTTTGCAAAAAGGGCAATATTGAGTGGTGGGATAAAGGTGCGATAGTCGTATTACATTTGAAAACTAGTTTCATTCTCCACATTATACAGGGTAAGGATAAGTTGAAGCTGGCGTCGAGATTATCCCGTAATAGTATAAATACGTTTATTTGCCATTGTCGATATACGTAAGACGGTGCCTATATTAACTATAAAATCAAATATTTTACACAAACATACATATAACCTTCGTACGTAAATATAAAGTTAAAATGCCTAATTTCCTCCTTCTGATAGCAAATATAACCTATATTTAGTATGTAGTTAATAATTTAACACTACCACATTCTATCTAAAAGTAGCTGGTTCGGTTTCCAGTCAAGGTAAATATGCTCAAACCTACATATTTCATTTAAAAATCATTGTCTCACTCAATATTAATAGATCTACGAGTATTTATGTTATAAAGCAAAAAATGACCTAAGGAGCCTTTCTTTTCTATAAATACTGTCTTCTGAAGAGCTTTTATGGCATTCGTTATTTTTATTTATTTTTTTGATTTTTAAAGGAGCAAAAGATCAAATCTCTCTCTCTCTCATTTGGCCCTTTTTGATGGCTCACTGCTGGGAACTAGACTCACTCGCGTTGAAGATTGCAAGAGGGATCAGGCCATGGTTCACCATGCTGGCCAAGTGTGAGTTGGTGGACTTCATATGTTTTTGAAAACTTATGTTATTTTATCGTTGTTTTCTCAGATCAACGTGATACTTAATATACATAATTATAAAAATTTATGGGCTGCCGAATAACATGACATAAAAGGATTATTGTATAATATGTGGTATTATTATCGTAAAAAGCTATTTAGAAACGCGTCAAAATAAGTGAATTAAATAAATTATAATGTTTACTTGTGATCATCATATTAATAATAATTTGTATTAATAATATGAAATAAACATTTTTTTGCACTTAACTCGGTAGTCTCTTTTGTGTGCATGTTATGCGATATCTTCGATAGGTATTTATGGACTGATTTTCTTAATACTTTTTTTAACGAACAGATTATATTTTAAAGGTGATTTCATTTTTCATCAAAATAATTCATCCTTAAGAATGTTATAATACTGATTCTGAATTTAGAAATAGCTAATTGCAATCTAATTTGTAGAGTAGCGATTATAGCTCCACAATGGCTTGATAAAATAATATGTATTATAGCTTATGCCGATCTCATTTAACAATCAGTTTTGATGACACGTTTGTAGGGTCACTACCCTACTTACTGTGCCAGCGGTCGCGGGATCGACTCCCGCTGGGGCACTTATTAGTGTGATGAGCACGAATGTTTATACTCCAGTCATGGGTGTTTATATTTATAATATTATGTATTATTTATTTATATATATGTAGTGTATCAACTATCTGGTTTCCGTAACAGCCTCGTAGCTTACCATGGAACTAGATGGTGCTGTGTGTTAATGTCCCAAGATATTTATTTACTTCAATCATTTCTAATATTATTGTTGATAATTAATTTCTGAATTTAGGGCAGCAATAATTACTTTTGAACTAAAATAGTATACCGACTTCAAAAGGAATTTCCTTTCATAATGGTAGATTATCTTAAAGGAATTTATTGATCCATATTTTTTTTACAATTAGCAAAAATATTGCGTATCATATACAAATAAATATTAATTCCAGTTGAACTTCAATTTTTTTATTTGGTCAAAGAAGAAGATAAGGAGTTACCTTATCTTCTTATAT